TTTATTCTATAATGAACTTTTATTAATTAAGAAATTACTCAATTCTATATATTATCAGATGTTTTCCCGAACAGGTATGCTTATTATTATATAATAAAAATATAATTTTCTATCTAATTAAATCTAATTAAATAAAATCACTGAGGTTGTTATTCCCCGTGACCTGTCACGGGGAATATAAAAGATCTCAGTGATAATAAAATATATATAATCTACAAAATAAAAGTAATGCATTCTGACGTACACATGACGATAACGTAAAAATTTAAAAATTTAAAAATTTAATGGAACGTTTGACCATATAAACGTTGGAAATTTTAAAAAAATTATAATAAAGTTCGGGCTTCTGATTTTTTAACTTTTGTGTATGCGGTGTGGTGTGGGGGTGTGCATCGGAAAATAAAACTATAGCGCACTTTTGGTAGTAACCAAAAGCATAATTATTTCATAATTTCAATTTCACGTACAACAGTTACATAGAACCTTGATTTATTGTATGAAATAAAAAATACGTATCGCTATTACATAATAATAATGCGAATACACAAAAAAATCTAGTTACTTCTATACCAAATAATCCCCTAATCCAAACGAACCACGTTGCTCTTTCTGTTGACTTAGCATAAAAATTCTTTCGCCATCTACAGATAACTCGTAGGTATATATCCAAGTTATGAGATAACTTTCTTTACCCTTAACATCTACAGCTGAAATTTTTATAGGTAGATAATAAACAAGCATCGGCTTCTTTATTGTGTATATTCGTTTTATAAAGCATCACCACAAATGTAACTTTTACAACAATAATAAGGGAGCTCTGGAACAAGAATTAAAAATAGTAAAAAAATTTATTATTTCAAAAGATTATTATAATTAGCTTTAAGAAATAAATAAATAAAATGAAAAGGTTAAAGGATGAAATAAAAAGATATAACTAATTCAAAGAAAAAATTTATAGTAGAGATTAAATTAATCATCCATTGATAATTTATCAATTCCATCAACAACCTCATCTATTCTTTCTACATCATTTCCTTTACTATTGTTACTAAAATCTAATGTTTATTAATTGATTAAAAAATACTGTTAGTAATAATTAAATAGATAGTAGTTTCCAATTAATTAGTAATGAACCTTTTTTTTACCTTTATTAAAATCAGCATTTAG